GACACATCGTATTTTGTGGATTAAACTCTAACAACAACACCAAAGTTCATGTTGTTGCTTTAGTGTTGCAATCTCAGATATTGGCTTTTTAATACATCTCAATTACAGGGAGAATGCATGTTCAAAGCAAGGCTGTCTGGTTTTTGTAAACATCTAATAGCATGTTTATTACACGTTAACAGGTGAGAAGTATTTAAATATTTTAAGCAGTATACACCATGTTCCAATATAAAAACATAGTTTTATTTATCATAATAGTTAAAATTAGTGCCAATCTGAAGGCTACCCTGCTGAGTCATTCAGCACTTATACAACATAGGCCAGTCAAAAATTTGTAGCACACATTATGTTTTGTGTGTGTGTGTGTATGTGTGTACTGTAGGTCTCATATATCCAAAACGGCTTCACCTTCTACAAGACAATGTTTCCTGTCACCGATATAGTCTAGAATTTGACATAAATTCAATGATTTGTTCTCCATTTGGTCCTCACAGTAGTCATCACCGATAGAAACTGAATTGGCTCAGGCATTGAACAAACACATGGTCAGTTCCTTACCTGTTTCGGCAGCCATCTTGGCTCAAAAACAGCACCTCTGTCGGATTTGGCGCTTGCCAATAACATTTATCCCTGAAATGAAGATAGCATTCATGCACAATTGAATTTTAAAAAATCCCAAATTAATTATCTATTAATCATGCATAAAGAAATTTAGAATAGTTGAATATTTATTAGAAGGAGATGGAAGAGTTTGGAAAGTTTGAGAAAAATCTTGATCCATGTTTTTGAAGCTGTGTCAATGAATTTAGCTGATATTCCAATGTTAAATGTTACTATTATATAATCACACTAAGTAATGATGTTTCCTCTTATCAGCAAAATCTTTTGTACTTTATCTTGCATTTTAAAAGTCATTATTAAGTCTACATATATTTAATAAAATCCAGAGAATACAAGAGAAAAATCCTAGAATTACATAACATTCAGTATCTTATTACTGAATGTTATAAAGAAAAACACAAGTGACAAGATGATGAAATACTAGAAATTAATAGATGAAAATTTTATAACAATCCATGAAAACCTTTTTTTACGAGTGTTATGTCCGTAAGTTGTTGGATATCGTTTGTCGTGAAAATTTTATGCAATTCAACAAAATATTAAGAAATTTTGTTTCTTATTTACAAATAATTGTCAAGACTATGCCAAGATAAACCCAATTAATCCATTTCCTACTTCAAATACAGCTAGAAACATCTAGTATTAGGTTAGCATGTATTAGCATGTAAACCTATTTGCCAAATCAATGTCAAACTTTCAACTACAGAGTAATTTCTGATTAATTCCAGATTTAAAGTTATTTTCTTCAAGTATTTAAGAATCAAAATTTGCAAAAGTATCAGTAATTCAGTATCCAAATTAAACAAATTATAGTGTAATCATTATTTCTGTCCATTAATGCCTATTGCACATAAATAATAAATCAATCTTGTTAGTTCAAATTTGTCATCAATTATTGATGTACTGTATATTAATGTTTCAAATTTATTAGTTTATAATGATTTTGCAAATTAATAAATCTGAATTCAATTCAGTTATGTTCCCATTAAGTTAATAAATACTGTAACAAAAAATATAAAGTATTTTGTAATTTTTGATTCATACTCAAGTAAAAAGTTAACAGTTAAAGACTGAGTTCTGTCATAAAAAATATGACAGAAATTTCATTTTTAATGCTGGAAAGTTTTTGAATTCATACAATTATTTTATTTTCTATTTGTTTTCAAATTTGAATCATAAGAATTGAGAGACTTAAAAAACACACATTTCACATTTTTTATAACATAAATAGGTATTCATGAATTCTTTTATATTATCTAGAGAAAACATTGTTATAATAATCAGACAAATAATAAATGTCAGTGATATAGTTTAAAATGATAAAATTATTAAAAAATGCAGGAGTACTTTCAAAATTAAAATTATTAACAGTAACAATTTAATTTTTTTAAATTTACAATTAAATACTGTAATAACAAGTAAAAAATTAGATTAATTGTAATGTTTTCCTAATTAAATTTGAACTATTTGTAATTGCCTTAACTTATTCAAATTTCTGCAAATAGTAAATTATAAATCACTATTTTAACAGAAAAATTTTACTTATTTTCAAAACAATCTTGAATAATTTAACCTGATATAATTATATGTCATTACTGAAACAATTATATTAAGATACCAACTTTGTCACATTTACTTCAATTTTTGTAAAACTATTGTGAAACCATATGAATATATAACATGATAAAAAATTTCCTTGTAGCATTATTTTACAAAAACAATTTTAAATTTCAAAACCTTGGAAAATTCAAATTATATAAAAACCTATGTAACAAATAAAAACCTTAAAATAATTTTTTTTTAAATAAATAAATATTTTTAGTAAAAATAATGCATTTTAAAATTAAAAAAGACTGTGATAATAAGTATCAACAAGTTTAATAGGCACATATAAATAGATTTTCAACAATTTATTTCATTATTGTTATAGATCTAAATCTGCTAATTAAATAATTATATGTTTTAAATATACTAATATTTAAATAAAAACTAAAACTTTCTTTTCAGAACAAAGTTAAATTCATTACCTCAAATCAAATGTAATATTACATTAGCTATATTGATAGTGAAGTAAAACAATTTCTTATAATCCATGTACTTGCAGAGTTAGACACTAAAAGAACTTACCTATAATGGCATTAATGCTTCCTGTTTCTATTCTTTTATTGAACTGGGTGTGAGTTATGACAACAAGCTTTAGGCTAAAATGCATAAGAGCAATTCTATTTAAAAGAATTCTGTTTTGTTCTTCCTAAAGCAGTTGTGAAACATTCCTATTTAACAACAAAATGGTTTACTGGAGGGTAATAACAATCAACCAGTAGAAATGACTCTTATGTAAGCTCTGTTTTCTTTAAAAAAATTTCTAAAACATTTTTTTAAATTTAAACTCAAGAAACATTAATTATTTTTACTAATATTTAAAAAAAATTAATTTTACTGTTTATTACTTACTGACATAACTAATATAGTGTATATTTTAATAATAAAAACTGTTGTTGTGAAAATAATCTGCTCACTTCAAAACATTTAAACAACATAACAGTTTTTCATCCAACAAAAAATATTACTGCTTTCTTACAGAAAAATCTATTTTTTAACAATGTTTATAACCTGAAAAGAAATATTCACTTCATAGTAATTGAGTATTTTTACATAACATTATTAACATTTTTAGATAAAACTTGTAAATTATTACTTTCAGTTATTTTAAACTATTTAAGTTCAAAAATATACTCCAAAGTTTATTTACCACAAATTAAAAAATACAAATCAATACTTAATTTAATTATATTTTCTTTTTTTCATTAAAATTTTAAATTAAGAATATTACATATTTAAAGTTATTACCTAATTACAATATTTATTATTAGTTTTTTAAAATAAACACTTTTTTGAGAATTTACCTTAAACATTTAAAGACTGTTTTAGAATTAATTATATTCTAAAAAATTTTGACAAAAAGTGAAATAAAACAAATTTTGTTTCACTGTAAATTAATATTTCATATAAAATTTTATTTTTGAAATTTGATTCAAATTTTAAATGAAGAAATAATCTAACTCCTTTACACATTGTTTTATATTTTCAATTTATATGTTGTATAAAATCTATGTTTTTGAAATAGATGAAGACAGTATATAAAAGTTTGTTCTCTCTCATTAATTTTTGTCAAGCAAAATAATTTTATCTTATTTCAATATGAATAAGAACAAACCTAATTATTTACAATATATACAGTAAAAACAACATTTTTTATTTGGTCTCATTAGATTTTAATATTGTATAATTTTTATTTCTAACAAAACGAATTTTTACAATCAAAGAATAGCAAAAGAAACAAAAGCCATCATAAAATATAAATGAGCTTATTTACATCAACGAAATAAACTAACTTTTACTATTGATAGAACAGATAAACGGATCAGCCAAGTTTTTCGTATTTGAAGAAAACTGCCATATTTACTTTTGTTTTACTGACTCAACATGTAATAACCAAAACAATTTCTATCATCATTTCCATCGAAAAATTTCGTAATTATGATATAAGTTATTTATAAATAAATATCCAGAAAAAATTAAATTTAAAACAAAATGTAAACATCAATAGTAGTAGTAATTTTTGTAAATGACAAATACAACACACATTAAAATATTTTTGGAATAATTAAAGAACAGTTAGCTTTAAAACAATTAACTTAAGCAACTGTATTCGATTATTAATTAATTTCACTTATTGAATTGATCGGAAAGTGTCATTACCACACCTAATCAAAAGAATATTGGTAGCATTAAACAGTTTTTACAATAACATGATACGATCTCAAGAATCAATCTAAACAACTGTTCTCCTCGTTTATAGTTATTTAAACTATTTGGTGGTGGGAAAGAATTTAAATAGTAAAAAATGATCAGATGAAACAGTTGGAATATCTTGCTATCATTTAAAGTTTGGTCGATTACGTCGTTACACGTACAGTTTGTTTACAACATTAAGAAAAGATAATTTAGCGACGAATTCGAGTAAAACGACGATGGACGCAAGCAACGTTTAACAATAAAGAAAGCTGGAAATTTGGCAACTTTCTCCTTCCATTAACAACAAAACAGTGTTAAGCCTAACGAATTGCGCAAGTCTTATTTGCTAAATAAAAATTTGATCTTAACAAATGGGATTTATAACGTCTTCTAACCACGATTATACGTCGATTAACTAAATATCGACGTTATAAATTGTGATAGCGATGTATAGTTTAACCCCGATGACCTTGACTGCTACATATTCGATCGTTTCAAAAACCGTCCAGAAAGAAAGAAATAACTCCATGTTTGACACCCGATAGGCATAACCGATTTGTCACTAAAACAACTGTCCTTACCTCGTCCGAATGGCCAAATATCTCGTAAAATAATTTCCATTTTCGTTCTATATTAGCTGTTTTTAATGGTTGTTCGTTACTTAGTGACGTTTCTTCTTGGTGATATTTCATCCAAGAACGTCCACGCCGTTGAACAGGTCGACCTGGGAACCTTAAACGCGCCATTTTGGTTGCGACACCACCAATGCCGATCGTCCGTTATAACTTTGTACTTTCAAAGATGTTTCATTGTTTTTTTTTATTCCTTATTTTTTTTATGGCGAACGCATCGATTTTCTTAAAACAAAACGATGTTTAACCGACGATCTACGTTTACTAAAACGCCATCCTTTTTAAAAAAAAAATCGTCCCGCTATCGTTTGGGGTATTCAGTAAAATCGTCTGCCGGTTTTAATACTCGTTTATCAGTTTTATTATTATTATTTTTTCTCTTTCTAAATTTACTATTACGAATGGTGAAAGCGGCAATTTTAAAATCTTTACGCTTACTTCCTCGAAATAACGCGTCCGAAGCTTTTACGCGTCGTTTTATTATATTTAATTAACGTTTTTTTTTAAATGGTGTATAACCAAAATCAATATCGACTCAAGTCTTTACGCGCTATTTATAGAATGATTACTCAACAAAAGAATATTTTCAGGTTCGACGCTCTCTTTACGCCATTTTCGGTAATTCTACGTCTATATTTTACTATAGGCCTATATGATTGTAAAATAATCGAAAATAAGATTAATTTACACTTTCGAAACTTCCGATTTATAAAATACGATCGGAATTTTTGCCTAATTAAAAAATAGGCTCGCGACACTCTAACCTCTAGTTTTGAACGAAAAAACTTAATATTCCAACTAAATTTAGATACATTTTTTCCTCTTTTTTATATGGTGAACTCCGTTCTAAATAAGTCGACGAAAATGAAGTATTCTAAATTACAATGTATATTCTACGTGCAAAGTCGCAACACGTTTAAGTGCTGTCATAAATTAACATAAAAATTATCGAGCTACAGTATATTTATAGACTAAGCGCCTATATAGGCTATATATATAACACATGGCAGTTAGCCTATGTATTTACGCTATATATTTATCCATAAAAAAGATTCTTATACTCTAAGTTATGAGTATAATAAACTATATGGATAAGTTATATAGCGTAAATGCATAGGCTAACTGCTATATGTTATATATAGGCCTATAGCCTATATAGGCGCTTATAGCCTTATAGGCCTACTTATAGCCTATTATACGTTTATATTTATGAGTAATTTCGTGCAATAGCGGGTCCAGAAAAATCCAAAGGGACACTAACTTAAAAATTAAAATTATTTGAATAATCATACTGTAAATACATTTTATTAAATGTACAAGATGGACCGATAAACCATATTTGCATTCATAGAAGTTCTTAATAACAATGTTTTGACGTTCTAACAAATAAATTTTATACGTTTTATTTTATTTTTTTGGTATGTCAATGGAGAGAAATGGGTTTTTTGTGTGTGTGTGTCAAACCAGGAGCGCTACAGGGGCTGTAGCCCCCATGGATCCGCTCCTGATTTCATAAGTAGTTTCCACAGAAACTACTGACGAAATTGTTTATATAAATCCTACTTCTGGATAAGCGTACTTGTTATATATCTCTGTATCAGTAAGCAATTACTTATGGTTACATTACAACGATTACTATTATTATATACATTATTATTACTATTAGATATAATAGAGTATAGAAATTATAATTGGAGTTTGAAAAACTCACTTATCTGAAACTTTAAGTGTTTAGAGATTCGTTAAGTTTAGTAAAATTCTAATCGGATAATAAGTTATCGGGAATTAAAATATAAAACGATCAGTTGCCTAAGATCTTAATCTAGTATAAATGTTTTAACATATTATTAGTAATCATCTATGGAAGTGACTAAGCTTTTTTCTTATAATTATTCAGCATTTTAAGTCTTTATTGTATATTTGTTAATAGGACATTCAGTCTAAGAAAATATTATCATTTATAATAATATCCCTAGGCTATATAGCCGAGTGCAGCTTTCATAGTATAAAGTATAAACTATAGGCTGTGCATATATATATATATATAGTATTGTTTAGAACATGAGGGATCCAAATAAGATTAAAAATACGGGTGTATTATAATCCAGTTTCGATAGGAATTTTCAAAATTGATGAAAATCGCAGATATGAGGAAGCTCTATGAGCCAAGATTTTTCGAAAAATCAGTCTCGACAGACCGCATATGCTATTTGGAGAGATAAACTATTTTATAATGTAATGCCTAAAATATTCTTTCCTAAAGCGTAATGACAGAATCCGGGAGGTAATTACCCTACACGGTCTCTCCTGCCGACGCCCCTGGAGGTTCCATAAATTTCGATATTTACGTTCGACTAGTGTTATGCTTTATGCAATCGCGCATATATAGCTTATTCGTTTTTTGGAAAAGGCATGATCCACATGCCAAAGAAATTTTAAATAATTATAATTTAAATTTAGTAGTAAAAGTATTCATAAATTAACACAAAATTTAGATATTTATGCCTTTTCTGTACTCGAAAATTATTTAAAATTGAAATCATAATTTAAAAATTTTGTTTTATTCTGAAGTAACCGTAAAGTAACTGCCTATAGATATATACAATGTGAAATAAATAACGAAGCTTGTCACGTTTATAATATCAATTATTAAAAAAGTAATATAAGGTAATCAAGAATCGAGTAATTTAAACTGGACCTATATAAAATGTATCAGTAAATTGGAAACGTAGGTTATAATAAACCATCGTATATAACTAAGTAATACGATCTTAATTTATGTGCTATTGTTATTCAGGAATTCCTATGTTGTAATGCAAATAAATGTATTAATATTGATTATCTTTACTCTTACACATTAAAAAATTCACTGTAATCAATACTGGTCGGAGTCATGTTAGTTTAGTACTATTATTTGTTTTATAACATTCTATAAATAATGTTAATTAAGTTTCAGTACTAAAATATTTAATACATATTTCAGTACTGAAACTCTTAGTATTTCTTGTAAGATCTCTTGATATACAGTATGACGAAAATTTATGTATGGTCGTTTTATACTATTACACTGAAACAAGTTCGAGTATAATTATTATACTCGAACTTGTTTCACGTAGTTTTATAAAATTGTAATTACATTAAGCTGACACTTTTAGAAGACTACTGCAGTTTCATTCCATAAATAAAAGTGGAAGATGATTGTTTTTTTTTTAACTAGTNAACTATATGAATTATTTTAAAATAAATGCTTTTATTTCATAAATATAGTGTTAGAAATGCTTTATTTGTCATTTTTCGACAGCAGATTTTAGGCAAATGCCTATTTTTCTCTTAGCATATACATTGCTAAGATTTTGTACTAACTACATTTCTCCAATATCAAAAACTTCTGGCCACTTTAGCAGATGATGCAGTTTGTGTAACTAAAGCCAAGGAAATTTTGAATGACATTTATGTTCAGAACAAGTTGTGTACATCAAGTGTTATTTCACATTCATTGCAGATACTATTAAGTACAGTAGGCCCCCCCTATAAGACGGTAGATACATTCCGTTCTTTATGAATCCGATTTTGTAGTAATCACAGTCAATCACAGCCCGACACATGTGAAGTTTACAGACTACGGCTGTTTGAAAGATTTTCTTCCATAAAATTAATCGATTCTAGACTAATTCGACTCAACATTTCCAAAACACGTATATTTTTTTTGGAAATAATCCGTATAAACTACGC